TTTTGTGTTCTTTTTGACATGTCTAGAAAATTCATGCCATGGGCTGAACCACTGAGATGCAAAATAAAAAGCAACTGTGTATTGAATAGCAATTCACGTCATTTCACCTTTGAGGCTGCAACTTGTACAATAAACATGTAACAAGTCTGAAACTAAAGTACATCATCTATAGCATCCAAAAGTGCCATGTTCTTCAAATGTTCCCAAAACTTATCAGATAAGAGATTATTGGTACGTTAAGTTAAAACGTGGTTTTCAGGTTCTCAGCCTGAAACCTTTAAAACTGTTTTGCTTACCATTAAACTCCTTTCCACTGTTGGCATCAAGAAAGTGTCTTGGGTTTTCCACATTCCATGTAATGTCTCTGATGTGCTAATCATTAGAAATTCTTCAATAGTTAACTTTCAATTAAAATCTCTCTAAAAATCAATTCACAAACAAAATAGCTTTGCTCCAGGGAGCTGTAATACCGATTGCAAGGTGAGATAATAACAATTTAGTCATGAAAAAGGAGCACCAACAAAGGTTCCTCATTCAATGGTTTAACATCAACTCGACAATTCAAAAAGCACCATCAGAGGATGCCAATTTACATGCAATCTCAGCCCCACTAAGGCATCACATTGTTTGAAATTATGGCACATAATGCAATTTAGGGTGCATGCACAAATGCTCAACAGGCAAGCAATCTTGAAGAATCTTTGAGGTCTAAGCAATTCCATATCAGCTAAGGACCAAAGGGTTTCAGGATAAAAAGCCAAATAATTAAAGAGAACTTGATTTCAATACATGTACATGTAGTTTGTGTTACATGTAGCTCTGTTGATTAATTTTTACAGACAAACAGAGAATGTAGGATTATCAAAAGGATGACATATAATTATATACAATGTATGGCATATGCAATGCAATTTGTGCTGACGACAAGACATTGCAATCATCAGACTCGCATAAAAAACTTTCCAATCACACCCAAACTGGTATATAAAAAGGTACGATTATGGTATTTCTTGAAGTGGCTTGGAATTAATAAAGATTTACTTAATTCATACTCACATCTGAGGCATCAGCGCCCCACTTTCCTTTGGACAATGTTTTGGCCATCTCTTCCAAATCTATCAACTTTGTCTGGTCACTGAAATGAACATCAACCAGATTGAAAGACAGTTCCTGTGCAATGTAAAACTAAGCACATTCCTAATTACTCAATTATTTAAAAACACAATAATTATAGTTTTCACCAAGTTCAAACCATTAACAAACCAAAATAAATAAATACTTGTCTAAAAATGTACTAAAAAACAATAACTTGTAATATATGTCTACATGCACAAACCACATCAAAAGTATGTGACTAACATCAATACCAGAATTTGATCATGAGACTCACCAAATGGAACCCAATAACATTTACATGTAACAGTTATCCATACCTTTAATGACCCATGCCCCCATAATCAGGCCAAGAATGGAGAGGGGACAGGGGTAAAGGAAGAGGGGAGGCAAAATAACAGTTGAGCAGTACCTGTTCAAATCCTGAAACCCTTAACACCTTTTGAAAACATCAAAACCAAGCACGAGTTCAAAATCAAATCTGGATCTTTCACAACGAAAATGCAAACTTTTTCAACTGGAATTTATGGAACTTATTCTATAATTAGAAGAGATAAGCAAAAGGTACATGTAGGTTTATGTTACTTACTCTGACGGTTTGATTCCACCACGTCTGACCTCAACAAGCCCTTCAGAAACTATTGCTTCTGTTACATTTTCAAGTTCTTCTCCTGAAAGAAAATTCAACTACAGATATATAGTTTGTAGACAAATTGAAGCTAATAACATGTATGTTGGACATTGATAAAGTTAACTATCCCTTTTGCTCGAACGCCCATCTGTGTGTACCTTCATGTATATCTTGTAGTTTACCTTTCTGTAGATAAATACATCCATATTCTCGCCCTGTTCCTGGAACTTTATACTCCACAGAGAAGAGTACTTCCTTCCCAATCAGCTTCTTTCTAAGAAATTCTCTGGCCTCCCATGCAAAAGGCTGCAAAAAACAGAAAAAAATAAAGCAAACATGAGTGTGTGAAAATCTACATAATTTTAATTACCTTGGGCAAGTGATCCCAATTTGAATTCCTAACTACCAAATATAAACCTAAGTTGGGACACATGAACATGTAAAAAAGTTGACTATGCCACAGACCTAGTATAATACCCCTTATTCATCTTCAAGATATAAATGTAACACCTTTGCTAACTAAGGATCCTGAATTAATCTTAACCCACTTTCAGATGACACAGACTTGTTTGTGACAAAAATTCCCAGACAAATGTCATCAATTAGGATAAATATCACTGACCCCCCTACTTCATCTAAAGTACCTTGCAGTTTTATTACATTTGATCCATGTCTTAATCTTGAAAGGAGTAGAACTTTCTGGCTTACAGAACCGGAATCCTCACTCCACCCTCCTGGGGACCAATTGTGGGGGATGAAAATTTGGTTGTAATGACGGTATTGCACAGCAGAGAAATAACTGTGTCTTAAAAATATTTGTGAAGATTTTATTCATAGACTGGTGATTATTATTGTTTTTGCAGGCTGGAGTAAAATGTTGCACCTTCGTGACACCCTCTTATTAGCTACAGAACAGTGTGGAAGGAGAAACATAAACATTCCCAAATTTTCCAACTTCTTGAATGATTCAGAAGTGAGCAATTCATAGATCAATATTTCAAGCTACCTTTAACCCTTTTTAACCCTGAGTGACCAGCATCTAATTTCTCCTTACAAAAAACACTGCTGAATAAAGGAGGATAAAGGAAATGATCACCAAACTACTGATTAAAATGAATTCTCCCTGACAATGGCAAGTGAAATTTATAGAGAAGAGTACATAGGATATGGATCTTGATGTTAAGGTGTAAAGGTTGAAAGAGTGCAGACAGGGCCCAACACTAACTTTTCAACTTACTAGCCAAGTGGCTAATAACAGCTTGGATGTTACAATAATTTCAGTTTATTTACTGGCCAAACTGGCTGGTGGAAAGCGAAAACCACTAGCCAAAACTGAATTTCTACTAGTTTGTGACTCATTGGCTACTGTTAGTGTCAAGCCTGAACAGATTATGTCTCTTTCATTTAACTCAAGTTACATGTCACACATTTTTCCACCTTACATTGTACAGTGGAACCTCGATTTGACAAAGTGCCAAGGGGACTGGGGAAATTGGTTCATTATATCAAGGGTTTGGTATATCCAGGTTCTGGGGCATACATTTCCCTGTAACTCTAGCCAGGCTGAAACTGAAGTATTGTTCGTTATACCGTGACCTTCGCTAAATAGAGGATCATTAAATCGAGGTTCCACTGTATATGTTTTTAATCAACCAAATCATGGTTTTACAGATCAAAGAAAATCCTCCAAATTCTGCAGTATACATTTATGCAAATGCTTTACAGTAGGGTAATATTAACAGAGTGGTGTTTGGGTTGGGTTCCTCTTTTTTTTTGGCAAATCTTGTTCATACTGTACATTGAACAAAGCTTGTAAAACTAAAATCAATCAATTTCTAATAAGTTACTGTTAGGAAAAGCAAATACAATCTTGAAGATTTTCCCTGTAACACAGTTGTTTACCATAATGGTCAATAGATTATTAACAAAATAATTTATATTTTCAATACATATTTTCACTTAATCGTCTAAGTAAAACAAATGTTAATTTCAGATAAGTAGATACTACTTAAAGTGGAACAATAAATGATCATTTGGGTGAATTTAATTCATTATAATCAATCCTCACGTGGTGAACGACAGGAAGGTCTCACATTCATGTCCCAATTTAATATTCTACGAAAAATTTCACGAAACTTCTCTTCAATAATAAACACTACAAGTAGCGTGATCTCTGAGGTAATTTGTAATATGAAACACAGCCTATATTTCATAAGCCAACCAACATTAACCACGGTACGTAACCTAATGCCATTGGCCACAACCTAAAGTCATTCATAACGAAATGAACAAAACACGATAATTTTTTTTTTTATTTCAAAGGGCACATTAAACAAGACAATCTGGTTCACTTGGATAAAACATTTAGAAATAAAACCGTCCTTTTAACGAAGAAAGCTCTAGGACCACGATCAAATTGCTTAGAACGCACAAGAAACCTCTAAGAATGAGGGAATCATGGAACAATGTAGTAACGTAACAAACACGCAAACCTCGTCCCTTGTTTCGACACTGGCTTCAACATTGGGATTCGATCTCCTCGCTAATTTTGGTGCGTTCACATTCGACAAGCATAGCTGTCTTTCAGGAGGAGGTCCCCCTCGAGGCTGTCCTCGTATTACCACGCTATCACCTGAAAGAACCTTCAATAAAATTAAAAAGAATTGTCAGAAGAAAATCAGTTTTATGATATGATTTCGAGTCACTGGTCGAGGTTTCTAAATGTAAAACGTGGCATTCGAAAATCCATGCACTATTACAAATTGAAAATTCTGAACAATTAGATAGATACATATACGGCTGTATCACCTGTTTGACTATTCCCCGATTCATCTGTAGGGTTTGGGCCATTTTACTTAGTTACTAAGAATCTAAATTACTCGCCACAATTTCAAAGGTAAAAGGAAAGAACTTTTTGCTCACGGAATACTATATTTGGAGTTTGTATGACGTCAGTACAAAACCGGAAGTCAAACTTGTCCGAAGATCCTCGGTTCCTTCCGACAATAATTGTCGACTACCACACTTGACAAATGAAGGAGTTTAAGCCATGAACAATACACCAAAATTTATATTTTTTGAAAAAAATTATGAATTGTACTATTCAACACGCATTCTCCCAAAAACACTCCCTCATCCCTCCTTGATAGGTATCTACGAGCACGCTGCGGAGAGGACCGATGACGGAACGAAGATGGTTTTTGTTTTTTGAGGTAACACAGCTGACCAAAAGTAAACTGGCGGAAGTGTCAACGGAAGTGACAGTCAGTTGACAATGTCTGAGGAACAGTTACTTAGAGTTTTAGTTTCCTTGTTAATTATTGCCAGTGCAAGATATTTTCGTTTTGTCAATTCAAGTGGAGAAGATAGTATAGTGGCAGATGTTTTCAATGAAACGACAATTAGTCGCATCGCGTTCGGAAGTTGCAGGTAAAGGGCTAGAAATTATGTACAAAATGGCGTCACCGCTTTGCTCCTTTTCCCAATTTTCGCCTTCTTTGCTATTCTTCCCTTCGGTGAAGTCATATTTTTACTATACGACATCGGAATTGTATTTTAGTTACTATAAGTCTGTAACATATTCTTTTTATCACCTAACCGGTGTACTTGGTGCACGTTAGAAATCTACGCGAGCCGTAAAGTGTTTTCATCATGCAATGAACTCGAGCAATGATGTACTGTGTATGTTCCCCTTTTTTTACCTCACAGGAACGTTTTATGTGTGTGGGGTTTTTTATTTCATTTTTTTATTATATGCTGCACATTTCAGTTTCCCCAAGAAGCCTCAACCATTGTGGAAACATATATCAAGTCAACGACCAGATGTATGGGTTTGGCTGGGAGATGGTATGTCTTAAGAGAGAGGACAGCAAAACAAGATCTCAAAAATACCAGGCTTACCAAATTTATTTCATGAAATTCCTCCCCTGAATAATTTCAGCTCCTGATTATATGCCATAGTTGTAAGCAAAATTACCACTTTATGGTGGCACCCTAAAATAAACACTATTCCCAATCAGAAGAGTGCAATGTTTATTTGATTAAAAAGTAATAATGATAACAGTTGTAATCCACTCCATTCTTGTTGTAATTGTATATCACTAATCAGATGATTATGATTCTGTCTCAGCAAAGAAATATGACACTGGAACTTGGAACAAGTTTATATTTTACTTTATACTGTATTTACCTGTAATTTTTGTCTTTGATGATTTTGAATGATTGTTATCCTCAAAAACACACTACCTCAAAGAAAGGCTGCTTTGAAATTAAAAAATGCAAAAGAGGCTTGTCACCAACTTTCCGACGTCCATCGAATATTAACAAGCAGAATATCACATTGAAAAAAATTATTCAACATAACTTTTTAGACATTTGATTATTGATTGTGGAAAATGAGATTATCTTGCATTCAGTGCTTCCTAAGCAATCCACTGAAATGAGATTGATGCAACTTCAGATTTTTAATCAATCAATATTTGATTTTGTGTGTTTTAACAGCTGTGTATGCTGATACCAAAGTAGTACCACTTCTGTGGACTCCATCTCCTCTTGGTGAAATGGTTGAAAAATTTAATTACTTAAAGTTCTCGTCAGAATATCAGGTGTGATGCATGCATATGTATAGGTGTTATTGGATACTGTGATGTTATTGTTTCAAGAGTTTGACATACAACCAAGAACTGTCATGAATACTATGCTTATATTATCTATTTTGTTTTACCCTTTGACCTTAAGAGTGATTAGAGTCCAAATTCTCCTTATGGTATCCCCCCTGAATCACACATCAAGGTCAGGGGAATAAAGGATATCATCACCAGCCAGTTGCAGATCCAGACCTTGAGCTAAGAGGGGGAGGGAGGTGACAATTTTTTTTTTTTTTTGTACACCTGCTGGCTTTTCTTCCTTCTGGGTTTATTTTTTTACCCAAAATAAGGGGGGGGGGTGCTCAGGCCTCCCTGGACCGCTCCCCTAGATCCACCTCTGCCAACTAAAGAAGCTGTTGATTGTTAAGCAAATTCTCCTCATTAGCACGTTAGGACATGTATAGAGAACAGTATGGAGAATATGCATACTGATGATCAGGTGTGAAGGGTTAACATTATAGTCTATTAATTAAAACTTCATGCTAGGAATTCCTCCGAAGTGGCATTAAGGTTTTGGGTGTGTGGGATGACCATGACTATGGAATGAACAATGGAGGAAAGGTTAGTTATTTATCATCATTACACTTTCTTTGCATCTTTGCTTTTGAAATAGATATATACTTAGAATGATTTAGGGAATAGCAACTTACTCCTAGTCAATAAATGCTTGGAAAAGCCAAATAAGCTCTGGCAGTATGATTTTACTCATTTCATGTTCTCAGGCTGACCTAACCTTTCTACACAGAGGAGTGAATGTGGAGTAGAGAAATTTTGTAAGAAATAGACAACTTTTTTGAGAGACATGTTTCGGCATGCTTATGCCATCTTCAATCAATGAGTAACAGAACGGAGTAATTATACAACAGACATTCAAGTAGATGAATAAAATGTTTACAGTATGATGTATGAAATATTTATACATATGTTCATCTATTTGTCTGTCATATAATTACTCACTTTCTGTTACTCATTGATTGAAGATGGCATAAGCATGCCTAAACATATCTCTCAAAAAAGTTGTCTATTTCTTACAATATTTATCATACTTGCTACTACTAAGACCTTATAGTAAAGAAATTGTCAATAAATAAATTATGATATCATTTATATTTTCAGCATTATAAAGATCGGCTTCAAGCCCAAGGTGTTTATTTAGATTTTCTGGATGAACCCTCAGAGAGCATACGACGCAGGCGAGAAGGCACTTATGTTTCATACAGCTTTGGTAGCGGCAGTAGAAGAGTTAAGGTGGGAATAACTTCCATACAGGTTTTTGTTTTTCACCACCCAACTGCTCAGTAACCTGTTCAGGCGTGTTTGACACACGTTTTAAGAAATTTGATCAGAAATTGTCTCCTAAAACTGAGAACTAAAAATGACACAGTTTAATCAGTTTGAGGCCACAGTGCAACAGGGTAGTGTTGTTCTATAAGTTCCATTTTTTTGTTCATTTTTTCTTAGAAAGAGATGAGTTTTGTCCAGTTTTTCTATAATCATGATTATCTCTTTTTTTTTCCTTAGCTTATTCTACTTGACACTCGTTCGCATCTTAAATGGGGCCCAGAGTGTGATATATTAGGAGCAGAGCAGTGGTCATGGTTGGAGATGCAACTTAGTGATCCAAATCCAGTTGCACTTAGTATCATTGGCAGTGGAATACAGGTAAAATAACACTTGAATTTCTCAGTTTCATTTCCTAGTTTACAATTATATTGATTTTTATTATTGCTATCATCCCCATCATCAAAGAAATATCATCATAATTAACACTAGCATTATCACATAATGGTTCTTTTATTTTTTATTTTTTTTGTACATAGCATTCAGACTCTATACATACATCTACTGAATGATTTTCCTGTTTATACATATTTTGTATACTGCAAGTTCTTTCCTAGGAATTGTGAGAGGCTAAAAGTACTCATGTGTACTCCTGGTTAGAGAGTGTGACCCTGTGTTATTCATGATATAGATGGCAGAGACTACATTGTACGCTAGATTTATTCTAAAGTCACTATGGGCCAGTTATTTAGACAAAGTTTAGCCGTTGTTTAACAAAACTGCGTTCTAAGCTATCTTCAGTTTGGCCAAACCTTTCATCTGAACATTTATTTTTGCTAATAATGTCAAGAGGGCGGAAAGCTAATAGTGGAAGGACGTTTATTTCATTCAATCTACCCTCTTACAGAGAATCCCTAAGGCTCACTGCTTGCGTAAAAATGCCGTTTGGGTTAGAGCTTGTGTAAATAACCGGTCCGACGAACTTGTTGTTTTTCCAATGCAGAGGGGAGATGAGCTTGCACCAAAAAGAAAAAAAAAGTAAACAGACTTTATTTTATGTAGAATTCACAGAGGTAGCATTGCTTTAGGCCACTCGGCCAAACTGCCTCTACTGCCTCCAGTTCATTTTCCTTGCAACTCTCCTGTACAGGTGATTTCAGACGTTCCCTATACGGACAGATGGACTGGTTGCCCCTCAAGCTATGATCGTTTAATTTGGCTCGTACAAAGGAATCCACGGGTAGGAATATTTAGCCCCGTAAAAACGTCTTTTGAGTGTCGAGGCAGTTGTTTATCAATAAGGAACAGTAGGTATACAGTGACGCACTACGTTTAGTTCACAATGCGAGTGCATCAACTTTTTTAAAACCAACAGGAAACATATGGGGCCAACTTTATTGATGAACGAACTATCAGCTTATTTTAAAGATCTTTTTTCACGGATCGATTTAAAGGTGGTGTGGTCAGTAGTTGATTCCTGTTTTCCAAAGTTCTAGTTTTCCAATGCAGCGGTGAGTACATCTGGGCAGTTACGAAGAGAACTCATGGATTCTCATCTCTACTCTTTAATACATGATTTCAAAGTATAACAGAAATGGTTGCGTACAATTATGCAAAGGTTTCTGGACAATAAGCGACAATTTAAATATCGTAATGTTAAACGCTAGTCTGCATACACCAGAGCACCTTTTTTTCTTGAGTTATTTTTTTTGTGTGTGTGTTTCGTTACTTTATTTTTTTTTAATCCCAGTCTCCTTGATGATCCTCATTCTCATTACAGGTGATTCTTATCAGTGGAGATGTCCATTTTGGGGAATTTTCTTGTCTCAATAGCACCAGCACGGGTAAGATGAAGCTCAGTTTACAATTTGTTTCGCCTGCGAAAAACCATTTTTCACGTAAAAGAAATTGTATCTTAGTTTCCAATTCGTGAAAATAATAAAAGTAATGTCCTTGTTAAAGTTACTTGCTTCCGTCAGCTAACAGTTGCTCTGAGTATTTAGTAAAAAACTAGCAATGAAGAGGAGCTGCATGTGACTCTACAATTGCATTACCAGCTTAGCGCATTCATAGCTTCCCATGCTGCTTACAGTTGCATTTTCCGTTCATCTTTGGACGGCTTCTTTCAGGATATCCTCTTTATGAGGTAACTTCTAGCGGACTCACTGCCACGTGTGTATCTTGGATGTCAAAAGCCACGTGCCGCTGGCTTCTAGAGTGAGTATATAAAGCAACTTGTTCTTTTTCCAACTCCTATCTCAGCATCTCCAATTAACTTAAACTTTCCGCGGTTTTAAACGCATCAATTTGTAAAAGAAAATTAATTCCGGTCAATCTCAACGTTGACATCGCTGGAAAAGGGAATTTTTAACTTTCCTACGCTTTGTCATACTTGTTACACTGAATAAGCTCTAAAACGTGGACAGAATAAGTAGAGAATCAACGGAACTTGTTTCGGTAAAAACATCCTCACAACCTTAAGAACGCTGGGAGATTCTGGTTTTGACAATCCTTCCATACAACCTCGACGACCTCACGCTTTTAAATGTTAAAAATAAACCTGGCGAGTACATCGAGTATTCATGGGATCGGCGAATTTTGAAATTTTTATACGCGTTTGTCGAGAGGAGCTGAGAATCGTCGAGTTCTTGAAAAAGAGTCACGGAATTTTTTAGATAATTAATCCTCTCCACCCGAAAATTACCATTCATTTTCTCCACAATGATCTATTTCTTCCGGTACTCACAAGGAGAATTTCTGTGACAATCGTGAATTTGTTAAATTGATGATCATTTCATTTTATTCATGACCTGTACATTTGATTTAAAGGCGATACTGTAAGGAAAAAATAGAAGCCAGACACACTCAAGGGTTAAAGGGCTAAGTGCCGGCTCAAAGACCCTTTGAAATATACAAGGGATCATTTATAATCACTGATACCAAAACGTACAATGGACTCCTTTTCTTGTCGAGATTTGATACCAGTCGATAACTCACGTAGATCGGCGAGTCACGAAATACAAATCTGTGGCAAGACAAACATTCTTTGTTTCAATCTCAATACAGCTATTTCAAAAAATATCCAAGTATACAACTTATTTCTATCTCATACAGCTTACAATGCCTTGTAAACTGTATGGGTGACAGTTCATTTTTTGCGATCTGGGCCCTTAACAGCCTCATTCGGTACCTGCCAGGAGTATTCTTCATCTTCATTTTCACCTAATGTGTCCAAGTAAGCGTTGGTGGTATAGTGGTGAGCATAGCTGCCTTCCAAGCAGTTGACCCGGGTTCGATTCCCGGCCAACGCAGTACGTTTTTTGTTTCATGATATTATCATCTTCCTAGTTTTTTCCTTTCCTTTCTGTTTAACTCGTGATGCGTAATCAGGTATCCAACGGTAATTTTCGACCAAAAAATATATCACCCTTCGAAATGCGGTATCGAAATACATCTAGAGGATTTTCCTCTGAATAGAGATTTTAGGCGAGTCCATTTGAGTAAAAGTGGAGAGACTTTGTGGTGATCCGAGAGATTAAAACTGAGAAACAAAAGACAATTTTAGTTCAAAGCAAATCAAGATGAAGTAAATGAAACAACTGTCATTAGTTGAAAATAGTAGTCCTTCCATCAGAAATTGAGCTTACTAAAAAAAAAAAAACAACCGTTTGTTTAAAATTATGAACTCTCACCGTCCCGATTTTTAGGATGAATGATATATTTCTTCGTTTGTAATAAGTTTTCGGATTTTTTATTTCCTCTAGAAAAAAGGGATTATATAAAGGGCATCTTAGGCAAGCTGTTAACAGTTCCGGCTACAAAACAGACTCTTCCATTTTCGTTCAAAATACAGTTATAGTTGGAGTGGGTTAAATATAGTTTGAGTTCTCAGTTAAATTAACTAAATGTATTGAACAACCGTACTAAGAGGTCACCCTGTATTAAAGTGGTCGGTTTTCAAAGTCCCGCAACTTTTTCCCCATAATTACTGTAATTTTCACCCCTATTAATTGGTCATCCTGTATTAAGCGCCATTCCCCGTGGGTGATTGCCTAGCACAGGCTCGACTGTAGTTTGCGATGTCATTAAGTTTAATTCAAGTCCAGTTTTGTATGTCTATAGGATAAATTCATTATTTCTATTACTTTTTTTCCTATAGGAACGTTTTAACATCCTCGAAACGTACTCATCCGTTTATAACTGAACTAAATTACGGTTTGATTACTATTCACTGGAACGATCAACCAGTAAGTACTGTATGGCTGTATGGTGTGATTGAGTGACAGTCCTTTACATGGTGTTTAATTGAGCCCAAAACAGCTGTAGCCCTGAGCAAACCAAAAAAAAAAAAAACTATCAATGGTTCTATCATGATGATATTTACTATTCAAGAAATTTGAATGAACGGTATTACATTATTCATTACAAACCCCTGACTGAACCACCTCGAATGTTCTTTGACCTGATTTATATCTCTATACAAGGGAACCAATACTATCAGGCGTAGGCAATACATTCAAACTATGAAATAGAATAGTTTTTTTTTTGTTATTATCTTAGTCGTTTTTTTTTTTTTTTTGCTGCGGATTAGATTCAGATAAGTGTTTTTAATCTCGCCGATGTAAACCGGATAAGGGAGCACTAGAATTGTTGTTCATGTCCCCCATTAGTTTGTGCCAGCTGAAGATCTTACGTGATGACTAGCTAACAGCCGAACCGACAAAACATTTTTGATCTCGTCTCTTTTTCAGATCTCCATTGCAGTAGAAGTACGTGGAGAAACTGGAAGTTATCTCAAGCAAACTATATCTTTAGCTCATTTAGAGAAGGTTAGCATGGATTAACACGGCCCACTTATTTACTGTCTTATGTTATTGTTCCTTTTTTTTTGTTTTGTTTTTTAGCTTTTTTTGTTATTTACTTCTTTTTTATTAATTTATTCATTATTTTATCTCTTTCTTCTTCTTCTTCGTTTTTTTGGACTCCATGTTTATAATTTCAAAAGGAGAGCGGGGTGTTGATCAAAGTCTTGACAGTTCTTAGCAACACTATCATCCCATAACGTGCAACTGAACCCCAAACAACCAACAACCAAGAACCAAAAATAATTTATCTGCGTTTCTGTTAACTCAAAAGTTTTATTTTAATTTTTTTTTCTACTACTTTTCTTTTCTCGCTCATTACAGGCAAGAGATGCTAACCGATGTCCACAGAAATTAGAAGATCCTCCAGTTATCAAGAAAAATTTATTTTACGCAGCAGCTATTTGCGTACTTACGACTATCTTTGTGGGGCTGCTAAGGTATAGTTTTTGGAACACATACAGATGAATTGTGCATTACTCTCTCTCCAAAAAGTCTGAGGTTCGACATGAAGAGTAACATACTTTCTTTGCCATTATTTTTTTCAGGCTCATTATCTTCATTCTCAAAATAGTTTTAACCAGGATTGTGTTCCCATTGCTTGGAATATCTCTTCAGTCTTCCCCTAGCTCTAGTTCGAGCTTGCAACGAACCAAACACAAAAACAACAAAATCATCAAATCGGAATAACTGACTTGTGTGGAAATAGGACAAAGTAGGAGAGGAAGGAACTGCTGCAATGGCAAGAGACTGCCCACAACTTTTGAAATTTAACCATTTATGACGATATATTTTAACTTATAATCCATCAAATATTTTTGTTCGCGCGCGATTGGCCTAAACGCATCTCGTGGACGAATAATCCTCAGCTAAAACTGGCGTGGAGGATATACGAGGATATTACCCAATTCAGGATAAGAGGGCGTTTTATGGTTATTACACAAGAGGGGAAACATTTGTTCATAAAGTCGTAACAGAGAACAATCAAAAGAAAACTCCCCATACTGCAAACAGTAAGTTGTTTAGAACCAAGTTTTCGCGTGCGTTGCAAAATATTTGAAAGATAATAAACACAATCGTCTCTATTTTGAGCCAAAATATGCTCGAGCTTCGCTCCGAAAAACTGTCACATCTTGGAACAGATAATTTTCGCTGGCAAGTATTCTTGCATATTTTCACGCTATAGAGAGGGTATTGTTAGATATTTTAAAAATGAAAATTGTCCTTATTTGTAATGTAAGTATTTTTTAAATTTAAATCCTTTCTATTTAAAACTCTTTTCATTGTTTTATTGACGGAGGATATTTATTGATTGGTTTTTACGTGAAGAGAGCTACGTTCTTCAAAATTGAATTTCGTCTCACCATTTATCAATTCAATGCCAATTTTTCTAAAATTTTTGAAGTTTAGAATTTCTACATCTAAATATTTATATCAATCGAGTAATCAAATTTTTTCTTCGTCTCACTGGCTCGTTGCCTGTGACGCAAGACAAACAAAGCGCACTTATAAACCGTTTAACGTCTCAGAGGTGATACTAATTGTCCTTTTTAGATGGTTCAGATAATTTTGTGTTACATGTAGAAAACATCCTCTTTCTTATAAGTTTAGCTGCTTACATAATTATTTCTTGGTGTTTTGAGATCTGCAAAGAAAGTGAGGTTCTGAGTCGTCGTCTCTTTGGTTGCGTGCATGGAATTGTGGGAATTCCACGACACTTGCACGCGCTCCCTGTTCGCTGCACGCCGCCAAGGGAAAAACGAGAAGTGGAAAAATAGACCGAATCCACACGTTTTCAAGCTAATTTAGAAGTTACTTCAAACCTCCTCAAATAAATTGTGTTGGTAATATATCTGTGGTCCCAGTTAATGACTGTTTATTTCGCCATAAAGAGGGAAATTTTATTAACGCCTACTGGGAGACGCGGTGAAATATCACGTGGCTGACTTTGTTACGACTTCGTATGTTGTAATGTACTTAAATTTACCGGAGGACAACGTCAGTAGTGTTTCCTTGGCTGACTGTGGTTTTTTTCCGTCATGTTTCTTGAATAGCTACAGATTGGCTCAAAAGTGACGATTCACTCAGTCTAGTCTTTTATCTCCTTGGTAATTTCGCTTTAATTCTACGCTATTTATCTCAAAAGTTCAGCCGAATTTCATATGAGCTCATTTTTTTTCTTTTTATTCTTTTTTTTTTTTTTTCTTTTTCATGATAAGTGAAATCCAACTTATAAACAGAGCTTCTTCTATTTCCTCGGAATGTTTGACACTTACTGAAGAATATTTTTTGTCATAAATTCGATATGACTGATGGTTAATTTCGTAAATTCCAACCTATATCTCAGTCCAGATGGAAGCTTAATAATTCTTTCCAACTCTTGCCTCCCCTTAGATCGCTTTTAACTGCACTGAAGTTAACTGCGGATCCAAACAGGAAACGGTACAATTGTGATAAAATAATACGAATATCGAATGAATCTAGGACAGTGTGGGACTTTGGTTCACTTTTCTGTAGAAATCTTTCTTATCAGGCTGTAGATCACAAATATATTAAACGTAGACCGTTTCCACCCATTCTTTTTCCTCTGGTAAGATTTAGTGGTGCAAATTTACCAGAGAGTGAAACGTGGCAAAAATGATGTTATTTTCAATAAAACTATAGACTCGTGAAACATTTTTCCTTAATTTTCTCTGTTTTTGTTTGAACTCGTCTCCTTCAAGATTAAACATAGACATCCATCTTCGAGTCGTTATTTACTTCAATTGTATAGAAGGAATATCAATTTTGCTAGATTAATTAATTAACACACACAGCAACCTATTTCATGATAAATATTTTCCCGGCTCTTCGTCATAAAGTCGATCGAATGGCAGAAAACGGTTTTTCTCGGTGGGCAGCGAGGATGAGCTTTAGTGCAAATCTCAGGATGTATTTGCTACCAGTGATACATTTCAATTTCACACCTAGCCTTTAAAGCCCTCTGGGGAATCTCATACTTGCTGTTCTAAGGAGATGTTTGCACTGGCACTATCGAGGGAGATCAATAAGCTGATTGAAGGGCGTAAAGGGTTGATAAAATCCTCTGATTGATGTTAGCTAGGTTGCCTTCAGTTGAGTCTCTGCTACAGCACGTCGTCTTTTGCAAAGATTTTTTTTTTCATTCAAATAAAGGAATTAAAAAATTATGAAGCTTTCTTAAATTAAATAGACATTTCATATGTCAAGAAAGAAAAATTCAAAATCAAATTTTTCATAAATGAGGGTTGCCAAATCTAATAAGCCTCTTTAAACAGAACAAGCTTAAGAACAAAGAAGGAAGAGTTTCCCGTTTGAGTCATCAGTGCTTGTTTACTAAAGAGGCACTGTTTATACGGGCCTTTGTTTAAGATAAACGACCACCGACTCAGGCGTTCCGATTCATCGCAATTTTCGAAAGCATCGGCAGTATTCATCTGTTTTACCGTACTCGTAAGCACTTAGTAGCAGCATAATGCCTGAAGCCATGGAAGAGAAAAATCAAGTCCGATTGCAAAAATGACTTGGGTAGGGGTCGGATTCAGTGGGGAATCTGCAAGTGGCAGTGAAACATGTTTATCATCCAAAAACCGATTGATGGTCTCCACTCTTCTATATTAATAAATTTAACATAAATCTATTCTACTCTTTTAAGAAAACAATTATCCCTTGTTGTCTTCAGTTTAACTTGATTTTTGACCTAATTTGAATTTTAATAATGTGTTTCAGAGCAATTTAAAACATGCAAACAATTGACATTGAACTGAAAAGCTCACTTCGTTTTCTGCCAGCAAATAATTGCTAATCAAACACTTGTTAGTTTAAGACAGATGGCAAAACAGAACAAAAAAAGAAAAAGGAGAAACGTAACTCTTTAGGAACCCATAAATCGATGGAATCAGATAAGATCTAAGAATATCTCAAAATAACTCTCATCAGTGAGATAGCTAGCTGGTAGGATTTCAACTGAAATGACGAATTTTGACAAGTGCATTTTTAGAAGATACACACGGTTTTCCACTGTTAATTTAACATTGATGGTCACTTTATAACAATTATTCCATCTCATATCCAAAAAGCGCGAGTGGAATAATTGTTTAATTAAAAACGCCCCCAAGAAATTATTTTGTAAGAAGAAACCGGATTTTTTAGCTCCCTTTTGATTTTAAGCTGACGCGTACGCTTACCATATTTGTAGATTACGGTATATTGGCTCATATACCATAATGGCTAAGCCAATAAAAAGTCTGGAATTGCATTATCCAATGACCTAGTTTTTAATAATTATAACTGTTTATGTGTTATGATCGAGAAAATACGGACAGAACTGTTACCTGCCCGAGATAGGTTTTTCTCAACGAATAGAGCTAGAAGCTGACAAAACCACATAACTTTACCTTATAGCACGAAATCTCCGTCAAACTCGATCTACGACTAAACCCTCCCGAAACTCAAAGAACTTCTTTGTCTGCCAAATTAATTTTGCTTGCAGCTGTATAAATTGATCATATCCCACGGCTGTTTTTAAATAAACTAAGCTCGAGGACCAATTTCAATTAAGGGCAATTTTAAGGAGTAAACATATGGCAAGTGCCCTTGTTGTTAATAATAAAATATAATTCAATTTGCGCTCTTGAGTATAAAAGAAGAGAAAAGAAGCCTTAATCACCACAAGGAATTTGTTTCGGTGCGAATTAGGCAGCAAGGTTTGACAAGAAACTGACGACGACCCACAGACATGAGAACCTTTGTTGTGTTCTGCTTTTTGATGGCTTTCGTGATGGCCTCCCAAGCGCAGAGAGAGGCTACAGAAATGGACGAAGACGAGTCAGCAGCCTTTAACGAGGAGTTGAAACTCGCCTCTGGAGCTGAAGATGTCCCTGAATTCATAAAAGACTCAGAAAATCCAGCTGTCGGTCAGTTTGCCATTTCTTGTTAGATTTTATTTCGTTTTAATACTGTCTAAAACTCTCTCGCTTTGGTTCTTTCTAGTTTGATGGTCTATAATTAAGGGCCTGAATGAAAAGAAAGATGGTCAATTTTCCTCGCTCACTTGTTAGATATTTCAAATTAAATGTAATTTTACATTGACGAAAAGGTAGCATGCGAGCTACACTTCCTTCGATGGCTACTAGGTACGATATATTCCGTTCAGTTCAGAAGATTGGCCCATTCAGGGCACTACGCTACTTGGAAATAGAGAGTTCAGCCGGCAAACAGTTAAAAAACCAGATAAATTTGAATCTGATGCCTCCTTAAATTCAAGAGATGGACCTGAAAAGACCACTGTGTTAATTCTTCCGGTGATAAGCACGAAAACCCCAGATTATCTCCAGAACAAATTTTACACAAGTTGTTATCAAAACCGTCACAAGAAAAGCAGATCGTGATGTTCACATGGAAATAATTCCTAAATCAGGACTTTCTCGCTGATCATCTGTTGTTGTTTTTCCACTTACAGACGCAAGGAAGAAGTAAAGATCGAAGACGGCGAGACTGAACATGATTGCAAACGAATAAATCAATTATCCTCAAAACGTGAATTATATATTTTGAATATACTGAAAGATGATGATTTGTGATGCTTTTTTCAACCTGGTGCGACACTGATTAAATTTGAAAGATGAAGTCTCTTTTCAGAAGCCGTGTTCTCGTATTTTTTTACCTTATTGATCAACTTCCCTTTGTTTTTCTTCTTTCATCCTACAAGACGATCATTGCCCCATATAGACCTCACTTGTGCGTCCTTATCGTTATTACACCAGTACTGTATGCAAACTTTAAATTAATTACCGCTTGGAACTTAAAAGTGCTCTTTGTTATCAGTGTTTGGAATAAATTTTGAGCAGAGTAGTGGAATCAAAAAAGAAGTAATTCGTCCTGTCACGAGCTTAGGACAAAGAAAACGTTTTCACCAAAAAAATCAAAAATAAATTTATCATTATCTTACACAACATGACCCTTTAATATTGTAGGGCTCTCTTCCATGTCCGCAGCTCACCCCATGCCCCATCCAAACCCCCATAAATAGGTATTCCTCTGGAGGTATCCCTGCCCATATCTTAATTCGTCTTATTACACTAACACAAGTTAGTAAAATGATATAGCAGGTTTTCCAGCGTTATAACTGCCCAGATTCATCCCTGACTTTATTGTGAAATATAATGTGAAAATATACCACTGTTCCTCCTCTATACCAAACTAAACTTGAGCAAAGAAATCATGCTGTCTTCTTCTCACCTCTGCCCAACTAATTACTGATTTTTCTCAGACCACCCCTGTAACCGCTGAATCGATCGGATAATTTTAGAGTCTTTTGATCCAGGTTCATCAAATAAACGGCATACAAATATGTTTCTGAAAGTAGAATTACACATTCAATTGAAACTTGCAAATGCGAAGCAAAATAAAGGCAAAATGAAAGTATACAAAGCCCAGATAAACCGAAATATGGAACACTTACAAACAGTCTGAGGGTTCCTTCTCAAAACAACTGAAAAATGTTTGTCGAAATCCATCGCATGAAAAACGATTCACATTCACAATCTTTAGAGCAAACTCATCATACACGTACATATGGCCGAACAAGATCACTCGCTCGGCCTGGTATCAACTAAGAGTTGCGTCATGTTAAAATCATGACCTGTCCGTTTGGAACCTACAACCCCCTCCCCGCTTATCCATTCAGCATTAAACAGGCTCTTGACCCTTTACACCCTAATATTGGTAGTAGCATTCTCCACACTGTTTTCCTTACATTTCCTGTTAAAAGATACAATCAAGAGCTTTTTAACCACTAAGAGTGACTAGCATCTAATTTCTCCTAACAATATCACCCCTGAATCACACATTAAGGTTATGAGAAAAAAAAAAACCAACACCATATATAGGAGCTCTTGATTTTTAAACATATTCTTCTTGTCAATACCTTGAGAAATGTATAGAGAAGAGTATGGAGGACATGTATATAATACTGATGTTGGTAAGGGTTAAATTGGTGATCATTTCCTTCACCTTCATGATGTTTTAATTTGATTCAAGGGTGACGTTGTAAGGGGGAAATTAGAAGCTAGTCACTCTTACGGTTAGAAAGGTTAAGACTTGATTACTACAATACCAGCCTGTAAGAGACAGTGAAACAAAACTTGGAACACAATAGCACACAAAGGAAAGGTATGGCTTGCCGCAATGATTGAGCAAAGCAGGGCTTGACACTAATGGTAGCCAACTAGCCACTGACTAATAGAAATTCAGTTTTGGCTAGTGGTTTTCCACTGGCCAGTTTGGCTAGTAAACAAAATTGTCACTAGCCACGTGCCTAGAAAGTTGAAAAGTAAGTGTCAAGCCCTGCAAAGGCACATCCACTTTGTCTAAATGTGTTCCTAGATTTATCTTTTTACAAAGGCGTACATGATGTCAGACAAACATATGATAAGAGTCTACAGTGTCCCCTTATCTTTAAGCTGGACTGTACGTCAACATTCTTTTCAGACATTGTTAGTTAAAGCCATTTCCATCAAAAGTAAGCTTGAGAAAAGACACTACAGTGATTCTGTCTGGTTCCCCTGAACAACATTTCCTTCACTGTACAATGGCTGATATATATATATATAAGCTTGAGAAAAGACACTACAGTGATTCTGTCTGGTTCCCCTGAACAACATTTCCTTCACTGTGCAATGGCTGATATATATATATTCATTATAAGAAGAAGCCCACTTGATTTCAAACCAATTATTTTTTTCATAAATGATAAAAAGTTGTATTGAATGAAGTATATTATCACTGGCATAGATCATTAACAGCAAGTGCATAATGAAGGTGCCAGAATTATCAAAGAACAACCTAGATCTAACACATATGTAATGTGAACAATGTAATTAAAATGATTACCTCTTTCACACATCTCATGTCTACATTAATTTATGTGTTATTTCTCTGTTTGCTGGGATTTAGGTACCAAACATGCATAGTAATTATATCTTGCACTTTTCATATCTTTCCCTTTTTCTATGTAGTGGCCTAATGGTCACCACATACACAATGGATTCAGAAGTAATGCATGAGCAGTTCAAAGGTTTCACTAAACAAGACAATTAGATTGATTTGTCTTGATGAATATTCATTTAAAATTCCTTTAACAGTGCATTGTATGCAAGTGGTGCAAAGCAATAGCCCAAGGGTCTTACAGTGTGCAAACTATGTGGTGTGACCCAGCAACACCAATGGAGTTCAATGCATGTCACAGGGTTCCCTCATTGCCTTGAACCAGACGACTCTTTACCCTCCAAATGTCCTGTGAGAAAAAAAAGAATAAATCAAATCAATTACACATTTCTTAATTTGGTCTAGCACAAAATTGGTGTGGTGCCAACTGACCCAGAGTACCATCATAACACCATAAACAAAACAAAGCATTTTCTTTAATACCTCAAAAGACAAATCAATATCAGCACCAAGCTTCTTGTGTACAACCTCTAAAGTTTCAGCTGCAATTTTCTCTTGACTGGTTCCCTTGACATCAATATAATAGCAGTGCGAGCTTGCATAGTGCCCTGATATAGCCTTGTGTCAAAAGAAAAACAGCAAAAGTAAAGTTTACACTCTGGTAATAACAATTATTATTATTAATAATAATAATAAAACTCTATTTAATGAGCCAGGGTAACATCAATTACTGATTACTGATAACTCAGTAGCTTACAAAATGCACATATACGTTTCATAACCGCAGTTCATACATATGTTTCATATGTTTGTTGTTGTTTGATTTATCATCTACGGGTTTATGTCGAATTAATTTGATGGCCTGCTCCCAGTTGGCTTGTTAGCTCAATTGGTAGAGCGCTGCACTAGTATCGCAGAGGTCAGTGGTTCGAATCCCGTACAGGCCTGAAATTTTTTTCAGGTCTGATTTTCACTATTGCTCAAATAGTGCTTTACTGCGAAGGATCGTGCACATATACGTTTCATAACCGCAGTTCATACATATGTTTCATATGTTTGTTGTTGTTTGATTTATCATCTACGGGTTTATGTCGAATTAATTTGATGGCCTGCTCCCAGTTGGCTTGTTAGCTCAATTGGTAGAGCGCTGCACTAGTATCGCAGAGGTCAGTGGTTCGAATCCCGTACAGGCCTGAAATTTTTTTCAGGTCTGATTTTCACTATTGCTCAAATAGTGCTTTACTGCGAAGGATCGTGCACATATACGTTTCATAACCGCAGTTCATACATATGTTTCATATGTTTGTTGTTGTTTGATTTATCATCTACGGGTTTATGTCGAATTAATTTGATGGCCTGCTCCCAGTTGGCTTGTTAGCTCAATTGGTAGAGCGCTGCACTAGTATCGCAGAGGTCAGTGGTTCGAATCCCGTACAGGCCTGAAATTTTTTTCAGGTCTGATTTTCACTATTGCTCAAATAGTGCTTTACTGCGAAGGATCGTGCTCATATACGTCTCATAACCGCAGTTCACACATATGTTTCATATGTTTGTTGTTAATANCAACCAAGATACCACACTGAACATCTCAACCTTTAACAAAGTGGGATCCATGGTGCTATCTTGATCAGCTTACAAGTAAAACATTTAACTTCCATTCCAGTACACAGGAAAAATTGGAAAAAACCTGGATATCTGGAGGAGGTACGTATCTGAATATCAAGTCTCAACACTATTTGCCATACACTTCTTCTCGTTTTAAAAACTGAAAACTTTGGTAATACCTCTCGTCTCCTTTCTGCTTAAAAATTTAATTATGATACTCTGGGGAGAAATTTAAAAGCGGGTCTCCCGTATGTGAAAGGGCTAATTCTAGTATTCTCTGACAACTAATTAAAAGTAAATAAAATTGAAAATCAAAATGTTAGTAACTGTTTCAGGTTGTCCTTCAGTAGAACAGGTATTTCAAAATGGTATTAAAATATTTCCAGTGAGGACTTAATTAAACTACTTCAAAATCGAAAAAAGAGTAAAGGTCATGGTAGACCTTCAAGGGCCAATTTTTTTTTTAATTTTTTTTTTCACATCAAACTATGCAATTGTTTAAAAGAAAAAGTTTTGTAAAATATTGAAATACACTTGAGTTATTTACAAAAATTGTGTTTTATAACATGTGACCTTGAATGAGTTCCGAAATGTTGTTTGCAGAAAAACATCCTGGTCCTTGAGTTTCAATCACATGGACATCCGATTTCAGTTACAGGTGGTGATCCTTGCTATCTATCTGTGTTTAAAAGTAGACTGTAAATGGGGAAAGATTTAAAGGAGAAGAGTCTTTCAGTGAAAATAGAAAATAAGCCTGGCCGTTAGCACAAGAAATTTTAGAAACTCCACTCATAATAGCAAAAAAAATATCACAGCGCAAACGAGAAAGGTTTGTGGTTTTAAAGCAATCTTTGCTGCTCGCACTCAACCAGTAACCTATAACTATTAACAAGTTCTGCCATGACCTGTTTGAACCATTTTAAATTTAAAGAAAAGCCAGCCAGCAAACTGTTAGATAGTTACCAGCAAGACACGTTTTTCACTGAGTCTCTTGAGACTCTCAAGAATGCTTCTGTATTTCTATTGCCAGTTGGCACTTTAAACTTTTCAGAGTGTGGACAAAACTTGAAATGTGGTCACCCAAAGGTGTGAAAGTTTGGAAAACTTTGGAAGCAAAATACACCTTAAGTATAATGTTTTTAGGTGAATGTGCCTTCTCTGAACTGATTAATAGGGTAAATAAACTTAATGGATTGTCTTGAAATTTGTTCCAAGGACTCCCAAGATACCAACCTAAAAAACCATATGGGAGAATTTTGTTCTTCAAAATGGGCATCTTCTGCAATGGCCTTTATTAACATATGCATATCAGTAAAATTTTGATCAATAAGAATCTTGAAAAATCCCCAACAGTTTTGAAGACCAACCCCTCAGGATTGAAATTGTGCAGAAGTTTATTTGTGCAGTCAGATTTGATATGCATAAAGAAAAATCACTTATTTTGAATTGTTGCACCTCATTCAGTTAACAATTAGATGATACAGAAAACAGAACAACTTTTCCCAGATAAGACATTTCATGACCTTTTCATTGACATAGGGTTCATGGGGGTTACATGTATGCTTCAAATGGCACATAAAAATTTTTTTCACAAAGGATGCCCAAAAAAGTCTGCTGTATCCTTAAATACAAAAAGTCTCCCAACTTTTGTCAATCCACAGCATCCTCAGGGATCCTCAATGATGCCATTGATTGTCAAAAGCTCACAAACTTGTTATAAGTTCATTTTAAGTTTTTTACATATATCTTATTAACCAAGCGTGAGGGCCATACTGTGAGAATATCGGCCCGAGGGCCAATATTCTTCCAGTACAGACCCGAGCAAACTTGGTTAATAAGAGATTTATTATAAGACTGAAGTTCAAAGGGACACAAGTGCGGTATCATTCGGGACCATTCGGGACAGTGCCCAGTCCAATACTGAGAGAATATTGACCGGCAATAGAGCATTTTGATTGGTTGATTTTAGTTATTGGCCCTCTGACTGCCCGAGTCGTGTAATAAAATAGTTTAAGGCCTCACTGGAAACTATTTTACCAAATCATGTAAGCTGTATATGGTAACAGTACTATACAAATACCTTTCTGAATCCATTAGTTTGGTTTGCACCTGAGCCATGGATAAGAAGAGGATGGAAGAAAACTGTATCCCCTGCATTCATCTCTAGGTGTACAAATGGAATGCTGGGATTATAATCCTTTATTCCATGATACATTACATTGACTCCTCCCTGGAAAACATCATCAGTGTTCTTAGAATTTTTGCTTGATATTGTCTTAAAAAATTGCCCCATCAACAATTTTTTTCTGCATACCTGAGATCAGAGATTGCTACTGCATTCTTCTCTGACAACACTGGTCCATGTGAATTCAAAAAGGACTTAGCTTCCCTATGGGATATTTTTCACATTGTTCAGGAAGGATTTCAAGTCAACTTTGAGCTCGATGATCATGCAGTAAAGATTTAATTTTGTATTATAGTAAAATGGAAAAGAGATTGCAAGATGAACCTATCAATAAATTCATGAATAAACTCATGGACGTTGCCACAGTATACAACAGCTACTGTAAGATAGTGACGCTGTATATTGTAATTTGCTTAGGAGGTGGTTTTTAACCAGAGTTAAAAGAGTTTTTGGAAAGAGTACCATATAACCCCCACATTAATTATGCATTCCACTTCTTTGTCTTTCACGACAAAACTTTAAAAACAAAGTCTACTAGTCTGAGTGCATAATTAATGTATGGGGTTATATGGTACTCTTGCCGAGTTTTTAACTTAGACAACAATAAATTACTATTTAGAATGCAACAATCATGAGTTTCTCTTACCTCCCACTCAGGGTAGTCGTGCTGCAGAAGCGGGCCATACTGAGTACCCGGTTGCACCACAAGGCAGCCATTACGCCTGTGGACCTTTTCCATCGCTGTCCAGGAACATACCATTCGATTGGCTGGACGGAAGGGAAAGTAATGCAGATCTTGATGGAGAGGATGGCGTGAAGTCATTGTTCCAGGGTCTGGCGGTTTGTTTATTAGCATAGTGTGCACCGATTTGATGTCAGGTCCCGTTAAACATGCCACGTACTTCAAAATCTGCGGTAGCTCGCAATAGCTAAAAAGAACCTCGTCCTCTTCAAAATTCTGAATTTTATTGATGGTTCTCTCTTCAGATTGGCAGCTCGATTTGACGAATGTAACATCTTTCATCACAATCATACTAGGCACGCGCACTTCACGGTTACAAATTTGGTTAAAACGATGGAGATACTTATTAAGTTGCTCTTGAGGTACAAGATTTCGAACAACCAGGTAGCCATTCTTGTTGTAGAAATCTACTTCTTCTTTAGTCAATACATCATTTGGCACCACCAGACTATCAATATCACCCCCAACTGCGGCCGTTTCTAAAATTTCTGGCGATTTTAGATGTAATCTTGAATGGGAGAGTTGTTTTTGAATCACCTCCAACCTTTTCCTTGCAGTATCTGCATCTGCCATGTTATGGCATACAAATGGTGCATTCTGGGTAGAGATCATGTGACTTACACACCTAGTTCACACCCTCGTAGGGAACAGGTCATTCGGCTCCCGGCGCCCCACTCCAGAAACTATTGGGAATCTGGGCACGAACTTGACTCGTAGGGTCGTCTGGGATCGTTTGTGTGGACGCGCGAAACTTCAAAATGGCGGTAGCGAGGAAAGTTTTCGCAAAACACTAAAGAAGAAAATGGTAAAGCATGCTAATTGTTGTGTTCGAATAATTACGGAACCAAGGATTGGCTTTCGTGTGACCGAATTCCAAAGGACAAAAAATTACGAAAACAGTACAAAATTCTAATTCGTAATGCAACATTAAACTTAACAGCCATCGTCTAAGCTGTGGTACAGTACACTCTTCAACGTTTTCTCGAGGAAGCTTCGTTCCGGGAATGTCTCCTTCGATAATAACAACTTTTTTGGAAAAACTGGCTTTCTCTGCCGCCATTTTGAAGTTTCGCGCGTCCACCCAAACGATTCTACAAATACCCAACGAGTCAAGTTCGTGCCCAGATTCCTCATAGTTTCTGGAGTCCGCAATTTCCAGAGTTTTGTTAGACATTTGCATGCAGCCTAGCCAAGCCTGACCTCAGTTTCTTCTATGCCATCATTCAACGGTTTTTTTTTTTCTCCGATTCGTAGGTAAGGCTTACTGTAATTTCCAGAATTGTCTAATCGAAACGAATTGGAAATCTGTTATTTGCAAATTAAATTTAAGATCTGTTATTAGCAGACTGGAAATCTGTAATTTGCAAAATGAAAATCTGAAATTTACGAAACGAGGATCCGCGCTGTAAACACTACCGGCCGGAAGAATGAATCTATCAGTTCGTCACTAGCATACGCAGCTTAGCATATAATATTTACTTTTATCACCATTTGAACCCCAAACTAAACTTTTTTCCGTGTTCATTCAATCTTCCAAGACTTTTGTTGTAAAAACAAGGGCAATGGCTTGAGATTACTGCTATGTTTTCTCAGCTGATGCGTGATGCTTCCAGTATAGGTAGATTATCGTGTCAGGCATACGAAATTAAACATCGTAAACGTTCACGCGAGCATTTCTCAAACTGTACATCAGAAAGATTTCCCTTTTGCACTTTCCCTAGCTAGCTGTTATTATTTGTTAGATCACGCATGTAATCCATACTGGTTGAGAACTGACCGATTGATCCCTTCGGCTGGTGACCATGTGTTTTCTGTATTTCTTGTTTCTGCAGATTCCGCACGGAGCCTCGTTCTTGCGCAGTAATTTCGGCACCAGATCACCAATCTACGAGAACTCGGAAATGGCCTAAGTGCACCTATCAGTATAATAAAGGTTAACCCTTTACCACCTAATATCAGGATGCATATTCTCTATACTGCTCTCTATACATTTCCGAGGGTGCCGACAAGGAGAATTTGTTTAATAATCAAGAGCTAATTCGGAGGTGATGTTATAAAAAGAAATTAGATGTTAGTCATTCTTAGGGATGATAATGAAAATAATAATGATAATACAGTTTATTCAAACCTTTTGCAGAGAATGCTGAATTACAGGTTTATAACATATATTAACAAGTATTATGGGATAAAAAAAGGGAAACTGTACAAAATGCATTAAGCTACATACAAGTAAAAACAGCATCTACATAACAATACTAAAATGATAATCATATTTATTATAGAAAAACGAGTATAATTAAATTGGCAGGTACTTGACTGTCACAAAGTTCCTAAAACGATCGGTGGACTTTATGGAGTGATACCGAGTACGATTTGTTCTTAAATTATAGCGGTCTGAAGATTTACGAACGTCGGCATACATTGCGGTATAAAGGGGGTTGTCATTA